GTACGTGTAAGAAGAGAAACTCAATGTGCAAACTACGGCGGTGCTCGTTCCGCACCGGTACCTCTGCCTCATCTGGACAGGGGCCCTTTTTTTTTTTTCCTTTATTCCCTTCTAGTTCCACACCACCGGTCGAGTTGGCTGTCGCAGGAGCCGCTGGCACGCCCCTCTTCCACGACGGACGGCCCCCTGGTCGCGCGGGACTGACTTTGTTCTGTACCCAACCACCGCTCTCAGTTGCTGGTACTGAGGCATGAGGCCGGCTTACCGAGTGCAAATTGCGGGCTGGCCTGCGAGGTAGTCCCGCCTATTGGCGCCTCCCATGGGCATGTCAAGTGAGACGCTGTGGGATCACTTTGGATACGACATGGGCGAGGGTCCAAAGAAATGACGGGCCTCCTTTACAGTATACTAACGTAGCTGTACTCCGTACAAAGTATCAACGCTCGCTTTTTGCAGGATATCATTCTAACTTAGTTACCGCTTGTACCCTGTACGTGCAGGAATCTCGGCTGCCTCCCATCTGCTTGGACTGATACGATCAACATTCAGATGCACACTCATCAGAGGCACTAGTCTTGATCTGTCCCTGTCCACGGGGTGAAGACGAAGAGTGCTTGGCGGGTCGGAGGAAAAAAGATGACGAAGGCCAATATCAATCATCTCGGTCCCTAGACATGTTTGCGGCGCTGCCCAAGGTTTCACAGCTCGCGAAACTCACCAACACCGCCATTCTATTTTTCCGGGTTCTTCTTTCATCGTTGATGAAGGGGGTGTAGCGAGGTCTTGTCAAATGCGCCGCAAGATCCTCTTGTCTAACTATGGGTGGCTTCAACCTCCAACACGTCTCGTCGCCACAGGATGCTGTGAGACCATCCGCCCGTCTGCCTCTCGGGTAGCCTTGACTTTTGGCTCTGCTATCCCTTTCCCTGCTTCTTTTGTTGGGCCAGCTCACAGTGGACCTGTCGCCCAACTCCGTCACAAGTACCACTCACACGCAGGTCTTTTTTCTCATCTTTCCTTCCCCGCCGCCGCCGCCTTGCTAGTAGGCCTGAGACAGGCCTGGCGGCTCTACGAAGCATGTACAAAGTGACGACGCCACCAAGAGTGAAAAGCAGAGTCTGAACCAGGACTGCATAATCCCGGCCTCCTGGCTCGCTTTGTTCTCTTTCGCCCTGCCCCCACACGCCCCCCCTCCATGTTCTACCCCGACTCGGCTAAAACTCGACCTTCCGTTGTTACCGTTGCGTGGTTTGTGATACGACTTGACTCGTCATCAACCCATGATGTGCTCTCTGGCTCTCTGGCCATGCTGGGCATGTTCCCGCCCAGCAATAGTTAACCAGTGGTACCGAAGTCGCCGCCGAGGCAGTGATAGGCATCACTTGTTCAAACAGGCAAAGCTAAAGCAACCGATTCTACGACGTACAGCCTCAGCAACGAGCTCAACGCGGATTACATATCTGCCTTGCTGGACTCTTCCTGCAAGAAGGCTGGCTGCCAGGTATTTGGATTTGTGTGCCAGTATGCACCGCAACAGCATGACGGAGGATGAGCCTTGATGGAAACTCAATGCTCCATCATCGATAGGGCGCCTAATTTTAGTCACCCGCATTCTGTGCTCAGCCGAGTTGCAGGAGCTCGCCCGAAGAAGCAAGCTTCACGGCGCCACCGCACTGCCAACTCTTCGACCCTCATCGTGCTATTGATGAAGCAGACCAGAGCCGCCCTTTTCCCATGTGGTTGTTTGCCCAGCTGTGACGCCTTGCCCATGTTGTGGGCCGGTGTGAATGCCGGGGATGCCTCTGGCGACGATACCAAGTGTGTTGATCTTGAGAAGGATTCTCACTGCAGTTACATAGCTAACTAGCAGTACGTACGGATACCCACTACCTCAATGCTGGCATCCACGGCATCCTTGTCGACGGGCCTTGAGCTGCCACGCACACGCACCCGCCCGCACTCACTCACACATTCCTGAGTCGTCTGTCACAACACAACTCACTGATCAGGGACCTGCCCAGTTCAGAGTCGTTCCCACACAAGACCGGAGCCCAGCCAGCCCATGTCCCGGCCACGGACGATCCCCCGTCGGTACAGGTTCCCACACGAGCGGTAGCGGCCCCCCCGATGGCACCTCTGTCACTTTCTTCTCCATTTTGCTCGTTTCCACCCCGGTCGTCATCGTCGTCCGGGTCTCGTTCTGGGCATCGGCTGACAGTTGGAAATTTTCGGCTTGGCCCCAGCAGCGCTATTCGAAGTTGATGATCAATAGTCACATATTCGCACTTTGGCCCTCACCGCCCGCTCAACACTACAGGTAACTAGAGGCTGAGGCTGAATCCCACCAATCAACCCTGCCCCCCTGGTCTAATCTCCTAGACCAGGTTGTTGCCATGACACGTTTGGATGCTTTCTTTTTTTTTTCTCTTTAATGAGAAATACATTTCATCCATTAATTTCCATTCCCGGAAAGAGGGACCCCCGACTTTCGAACCCATACCGTTACGCAATGACCACAAAAGCTTCTTCGATGCTCTCACTCCCGTCTAGCGCCAACATTTCTAGTCACACGGCGTTGCTTTTTCTCAACGTGCATTGCATCGGGCTGCAGCGACGGCATGTGAAGTCTCCAACTTCTGTCTTTGTCACGGAACGCGAATCACAGGGCGCCCAGAACCAGAGGCGAATCGGGCTGTGTAACTCTGGGTTCAGCCTTGCGTCCAACGCGCAGCTTGAAACTGGCCAGCATCACACCTGATGCTGAGGGACTTGCATCTTGCCCATTATTAATTTAGTGCTAAGACATCTTTGAAGTTCCTGTCTTACCCACACCAATAAGAGGGACGGGCTCCCCTCCCCGACGTCACTCGCTCCTTTGCCGAATTTGATAATCATCAAGAACATCGTGGTAAAAAGCTACCAAACCTGGCTCAAATTGATTCAAGGAAAATAAACAGTCGCCCCTTCCTGACCGATACACGAAGAGACAACTGAGCGAGAGAGATTAGCCATGTGGCAGTCAGTCTGTTCATCTTCCATCCGATGGTGGGCGTGTGGTATATAATTGGGATTCATATGTATCAACCGTCATGTACCTTGCCCTTTTGCTTATTCGCAGACGGACTGTCTTGGGCGACAAAAGCTGCGCACTTCGGCCAGTGCACGAACAAAAGGATTGAAACCGTGTCATGTGGGCGCGCGGGCGAGAGCAATCACACTGCACCACCAGGCACGCAATAGGCATACGGCTCTTTTCTTCCTTTCCTTTTTTTTTTCTTTTTTTCTCAAAAAAATTGGCCTTTCGTTTTTCCAGCCTTACTGGGTACCCCCCCCCCCCCCATCAGCGACGATCCAGAAAGGAGACGGGCATAACAGGGATGGAAAATGCGCGCCTTCCAGACGGGATATGTCTAAAAGCGGGAACATGTTCAAGCCCAGTGGCCAGGGTCTCAACCAAAGGGCCTTGGGGCCTTGCTCACCACTTACTACTGGTACTGGTTAATAATACAGCACCAGATGGATGTCCTGGGGTACAATACGGAGAGCTGAGACAACACACCCGCGGGTCCATGTTCTGGCCAAGGAGCCGACAGCATTCTTTCTCTCTCTTTCCTCGATAGTTTGGGAACCACCATGCAACTAATTTGGCCGCTTGTCTTCCTGGGGTGCAGAGAACTCGGCTTTCCTCTGCGATCATGATATGGGGTACCTAACTACTTACTGAGTACATAGTAGTTAGCAGCATCCCCTTCGGAGCAGACCATGTGGTCAGAGACAGGATCGGCTGCGAATGCCCCTTTGCTGGCCTCTGCTGGCAAGTCTCTTTTGGCTGGTGCAGCTCACTTCCCAGCGTGCGGCGTTTTCCTGTTTGGCAAAAAAGGAACGAATGGGCCCTCGCAAATCATATCATCGTCCGCCCGCCCAAGGTGTGACCTGTACCTGTCGGCAGGTGCACTTTGTACATCGCTGACATGTCACTTTTTTCATACTTTCTTGGCCGTCGTTTGCCTTGCTGCTGCTCGTTTTGCCCAATTTTGCTTTGTCGCGACGCCACGATTCAGGTGGGAGAAAAATAGCGAGCGCACCAGATTGATCTTTTTTCTTCCTTCCGCGCAGCTTTCTCCGGCGGCCCTGGCAGAAACAAGGTTCCCCCCGGGGCGAAACAAGAGATGACTTGGAAAAGCAAGATCCCCGAAAGCTTTGGCTCTGGGGAGACACCGATGTCCCCTCGTCCGCGTCGCACCAATGAAAGATGGCCGAAACAGGAGTACGTACGTACAGCTCATTTTCGTTTCTCGCTCTCTTTACGATACAAGCCCGTACGGTCCGGCGCTCTACTTCGGCCAATACGATGAGTTTGCGAAGTTGGCCGAGACTACTCGACGAGAACGAGGCATCAAGATGACGGAGGTTTTGACTTTTGTCCCTGGCGTCCCTGATCACCAGGACTTGGCACAAGAAAACGCACCAGCGAAAAGAAAGCTACTGGGATTTGCGAAGTACATATTAACTGACATGTGGGCGCCCAAAAAACATGGCCGACTGGCATGCTGCTACCTGACACCACACTGAGTCACCAAAGTTGCGAAGCAAGCCCACAATGGCTGCAACTTGCGCCGGGTCACCACTCACCACTCACCACTCACCACATTCTCTCTCTTGTCTTGCGGGAAACCGTTTTGCTTTTCGCGCTGTCCAACAAACTTGGTCTCCCTTGTCTGTTTCACCCCTTTTCCAGCCCATTTCCATTTCGTACCATGTAGCACACAGGCCGCATACCTCTCCCCTCATCGCATCGCCTTTGGACGGGATCGCGACAAGAGAGCTTCCTTGAGAATGTCTCAAATTTTGGGCGTTTTACAGAGTGCCAAAGAAGAAACCACGGGGTGGAGAGAGGGGACGGACCGGGAAAAAGGGCGCACTTCCATCAACAAGGCAATCACATGGGAGGGGGTGTGTTTTATTTGTTTTTCCGCTGCCGCCGCTGCTGCAGCTGGCCATCACATCGTCGTCACAGGCCAGGGCGCTTCTTGCGTGCATGATTCAATATCGACGCCCAAGCCGGCAAACCCTTCGCGCTGCACTTTGAGCGTGGCCAGGTCAACGGCAAAGCGCACGCAGCGATGCGCGTCCCAGGCTGCATCATCCCCATCGCCACCCGCCGTCGTCAGTCCGAAGAGCATCCCGGCAATGAATGTGTCTCCCGCTCCCACCGAGCTGGTTGGTTTGTCCATGTTAGCCTGCTGCGATTTTGCATGTCTGGGTGGTCGTGTTCTTCTTTATGACAGACACCCCCTCCTCCGGGAATGCGGGCAAGAACAGGATGCTGGTGAAGCAAAAAGTGACCTACTCGACCACGGTAATTTGTTCGGGCTGTTGCTTGACAGGACAGTGAATCTGGTCCCCAGATACGTGAGATATTGCATAGGCGCCGCCAGCTCCCCAAGGGCACAGGGACAGGGATCTAATAAATTTAGCCACATGGTTAGATTCGGGAGGTGCTGCAGCAGGGGGGGGGCATTTCTTCTTCTAAAAAAAGGAAACACGGAACGCACGCTTGCCCTCTCGGCTCAGTCGTGAGACAAGCCATTGCGGAATCATATCCGTTATCCTGTAGGAACAAGTTAGTGATCAGCCTTGTCTCGCAAAGGGTAACCCGTTTAAATTGTCTGTTTCTCGCCAGACAGGATAGACAAAACATACCTCTGTCCACGCTTTGGAGTAGAAGACGACATCTACCTCGGCGGCCAGCTCACGCAGCCCCTCTCTGCCTGGCTTCTCGACCTCGACGCTGATTTTACATCCCGGTAAGACGCTTCGCAAGATGCGAATGCATTCCAGCGTGGTGTCCGGTATGCGGCCCTATAAGTTGCACGAGATTTGATCAGACGACGCCATACATCTCACTCCGTATTCCCGCGTCTTCCCTCGCACACGCGGCAAGTCGTATGTGTGTGTGTGTGTGTGTGTGAGTCGCCCTTACTTACCTCAAAGTGCCACCAAGACTTGCCCTCGGGTGGAAAGTCGCGGGCGATGATTTCGAACTCGGCGACCGTCATCTCCGCGAGCGGGTTGTAGTTGACCAGCGTGCGGCTACCTGTGCGGTCGCTCCGTATGATGTAGCTGCTCGCCGCCTCGGTGGCCTCGTCGCGGTAGACGCAATGCCGGAAGCTCACGGGCGTGGCGACGCGGCCAAACGAGCGCATTACCTGCTGCGTCGCCAGGCTGTCCTTCCTGGGCAAGCACGCCACCAGGTGCAGGCGGCGGCCGTCGCCAGGACGTACGATGAGCTGCTGGAGCACCTCTAGCGAGTTTGCGCCGTTGCCACCGCGTCTGACTTCCAGGCTTGACGCCCGCAGCTTGGTGTCCTCGTCTGGGTAGTGTGGCACGCTGTGAGCGAGAGAGAGAGAGAGAGGGTCAATGAGCGACGCCCTGAGGTCGTGCGTGGGAGGGGAGGACTTGCGTCAGGATGGTGTCCAGGTAGCAGGCGCCTACCATGACAATGTCCATGTTTGCGGGATCGGGATGGCCTTGCAGTGTCACCGGGTGCGACGGGGAGCTGAAGACAGCTTCTGGCCGTGCTTGGTTGGTTTGGGTGAAGTGCGGTGCGAGGCCATTGGCTCCATTAAATCCTTATGGCCACAATGCTGCGAAACAGCCACACAGGCTACGTAATTTCATCACACAAGAACGGCCAAAGGGTAGAGATTGAGAGCCCCAGGCTTGTCGTTCATTGTGTCTCTCTCTCTACCTTTCTCCTTTGTCGCTTCGAGAGCGTCGGTGTGACGTCACCTACCCTAGAGCTACCTACTGACATCATCATAGGCGGGTGGAAGCTGCTGTCTCCGGTACTGTGAGCAGTGAGCACGCATCCGAGTGAGTTGGGTGGTATTGCATGCGACTTTTACACGGCGTGGTTATCTATCATCTGAGGATCAAAAGCAATGGTGAGGGGTGAATGGTTGTCGGTCCCGGGTGCTGACGATGACGATGAGACTAATACACCCGCAAGTCCATATAGTGCAAGCGTTCCGTTCCGGTAAATGTCAACCGTGCTAGGAAGTTACAAGTCGCATCAATCAAAACATTGCCATCAGTTTACTGTTAGCACACCGTGAATTTCCGAACCTCTGGCAATAGTTAGTCAATCTAATCCCACGAATGCCCCGCGGCGGAAGAGAGCTTTTTTGGTGGGGTTCATCAAGGCGATACGGATAACCTCAGCAACCGGACTTTAGCATCCAGCTTAAACTGCGCCTGACAACAAAACATTCGAGCATCGACAGCAGAGATAGACAACAGATATCGGTGACATCTGCGCGATTGAATTACCTTGTCTCCAAGACATACTGAGCGACAGCGTGACAGCTTCGAGGAAGCCCATTGCTGGCCGCTGCGGATCCAGCCAAGATGGAGGCGGACCGAGCACCCTCAAATGAGGACGACAAGCTGAAGCCGGCCGACGAGCGGCACGGCACGGTCTTTGACGACTGCTCCGATGGCAGCGACGAGGACTGCAAGCCGGTAGAGGTGTGTATCTCTTGTTGACCTGGCCCTGTGTGCGGCGGCGCGATGCTAATGCCGCGAGCCCGGGGTATATAGGTCGTCTTTGATCCCGCGAACCCATATAGACGAAAATCGTCCCTCGTATCATCCGAGTACCCGCCGCGAGCGGCCATAGCCGTGCAGCGCAGACAGGGGATGGTGCAGCAGTACCTCGAGAGCCAGCGACACGGCAGCGAACCGGCGAAGTCATACCGGGCGCATCCGATCCTCGGCAGCGCCAGCCCCCAGATTGAGGGATTATCCACGCTCACGCCGCCACCGCCGTTGTCTGCCGCTCCCGGGAGCGCGTCGCCCGGCGGCCTCACGGAGCGTCGCCACTCCCGCGCGGTCGTCGACCCGACGAGCCTCGATAGCGGCGAGATCGGCCAGGCCGACCAGCAGGACTGGGCGCGCGAGATGCTGCGCAGCGCGTCCGAGGTCGACCTGCAGCAGCACCACAACCACCGCCAACAGCAGCCGCCGACGGGCGAGGCGCCGTCGCGCATGTTCACCAAGAAGCAGCTCAGCGACATGGCCTGGGGCGTGCGCGAGCTGAGCCGGCGGCTCAGCAGCATGCGCATCCGCGTGCGCGTCAAGTCGATCCTGATCCTGACCAAGCTGCACGACCAGGACCTGATCCCCACCACGCGGGAGCTGGCGGCGTGGCTGCTGAGCGCGCAGCGCAGCGTCCGGTACGTCGTGTACGTCCAGGACAAGCTGCGGGAGAGCAAGAAGTTTCACGCGGAGAGCCTCGTCGCCGACGTCGCGGCCGAGGACCCGAGCCTGGACGCGGACGAGGTCCGGAGGCGGCTGCGGTCGTGGGACGAGGACATGTGCCGCACGCGGCCGCACGTGTTCGACTTCGTCATCACGCTCGGCGGCGACGGCACGGTGCTGTACGCGAGCTGGCTGTTCCAGCGCATCGTGCCGCCGGTGCTGAGCTTCGCGCTCGGCAGCCTCGGCTTCCTGACCAAGTTTGACTTTGAGGAGTACGCGCCGACGCTGACGTCGGCGTTTACGAGGGGCGTCACGGTGAGCCTGCGGCTGCGGTTCGAGAGCACGGTGATGCGCAGCATCCGGCGGCGGAAGACGGTGGGCGGGCGGTTGGACGGGCTAAAGATTAGCGAGAACAGCACCACGACGAGCGAGGAGGAGGAGGACGAGGAGATGATGCACAAGAAGCGGGATCTGGTGGAGGAGCTGATTGGCGAGGAGAGGGAGGACGCGCACACGCACCGGCCGGACGGGACGTATGAGATTTTGAATGAAGTGGTCGTGGATCGGGGGCCAAACCCGAGTACGTTGTTTGATGGGAAAATTTGGCGTCTTAAGCTAACAAAAATTGTGCGCAGCCATGTCTTTCACGGAGCTGTTTGGCGACGACGAGCACTTCACGTCGATCCTGGCCGACGGCATCTGCGTGTCGACGCCGACGGGCTCGACGGCGTACAACCTGGCCGCCGGCGGGTCGCTGTGCCACCCGGAGAACCCGGTGATGCTGGTGACGTCGGTGTGCGCGCACACGCTGTCGTTCCGGCCGATCATCCTGCCGGACACGATCGTGCTGCGGGTGGGCGTGCCGTACGCGGCGCGGACGTCGTCGTGGGCGAGCTTCGACGGGCGCGAGCGCGTGGAGCTGAAGCCGGGCGACTACGTGACCATCAGCGCGAGCCGCTACCCGTTTGCTTCGGTGCAGGCGGAGGGAAGGCGCAGCGAGGACTGGGTGAATAGTATTAGTGGTAAGCTCGGGTGGAACACGCGGCAGAAGCAAAAGGAGTTCAAGGAGTGGAAGAAGTGAGGTTGGGCGGTTGCTGTACTCTCTCTGAACTTGGGTAGAGGCGAGGGGATGGATATCCAAAGATATAGAAGGGAATCTGTTGCGACAACGATAACAAGGGCAATGAAATTATTTCTACATGGGTAATGGCAATCTTGAAGGGTGCGTCGTTGGTCTGGCTGGGAGCCTGATGACGCCAGAAATACAAAAAGTGGTCTGACAACGCACTCCCTGGACAGCCGTCGAGTATTTCTCGACCTCTCCTGGTTTGCCTACTGCTTGACTAAAACCCGTAGCGATCAAGAGAAAACACCTTTTGCATCTCGTGCTCTGGGCATCGGGACCGCGATCGCCCGCGATGCTAGCTCCAATTAGCGTCCCGCGAACGAGATGACCCAAGCTCCCCCCCCCTGAATCTCTTCTCCATCAGACCGACCCCCGATCGCCTTCCTCCTCCATTCGCATCCCGCTTCAAAGTGTTCCTCACCGAGCGAATTGCGCCCGTATCTGCCCAACATGAGCTCGCCCACCACCGCCGGTGCCCCCGGCGCCTCCTCCCTGCCGCCCGACCTCTTCGACACCGCCACGCTCCTCTCCTCGCCTTTGCCGGCAGCATCGTCCTCTTCGCCTACCTCGCCTCCCGCCGCTTCCTCGCCCCCTCCACCTCCACCGCCCTGCGCTTCCTCTTCGTGTGGCACCTCGCCGACGCGCTGTGCCATTTCATCCTCGAAGGCAGCTTCCTGTACCACTGCTTCTTCTCCTTTGTCGAGTCTTCCACTCCCGGGCTGGTGCCCGGCGCGTTCAACTACCTGGGCCACGGCGCGGAGAGGACGTACGGCCCGCAGAGCGGGGGTGACAACGCGCTGGCGCAGCTGTGGATGGTGTACGCACGCGCGGATAGGCGCTGGGCGGGGGCGGACTTGGGCGTGGTGAGCTTGGAGCTGTTGACGGTGTTTTTTGATGGCCCGGTGGCGTTGTATGTGGCGTGGCTGATCGCGAGGAGGGACTCGAGGGCGAGCTTCTGGATGACTGTGCTGGCGACGTGCGAGCTGTACGGCGGTGAGTTGCGGGCGTCCCCTTTTGCTGTCCGCTGCGCTGTTCGTCGAGGCGCGGGGAACGACTGACGTTGATCTTGTTTTAGGCTTCATGACGTTTTGCCCCGAGTGGCTCGTCGGCAACGTGAACCTGGACGGCAGCAACTTCATGTACATGTGGGTGTACCTCGTCTTCTTCAACATGCTGTGGGTGTTCATCCCGCTGTACGCCCTGTGGTACTCGTACTGCGACTTTACCCACGCCTTTGCGGTTCGGACGGCGAAGAAGGGACAGTAAGGTGAGAGGGCACCCCTCGGCTGTTGGTTTAAGGGTTGGAGCACTTACAATGTGAGAAGCGGTTCTCACAACAGGAAAACCTGTCATGGGTGTGAACAAGGGTTGCCCACATCCCACAACAAGGAATCTTCAATCACGATTTGCACATGGAACTCGTTTGTGCCAAAAATAATTTTGTCATTTAGACTAAGGTAGGGTATTCATATATCTATAGCAATCGAGGACAAGTTCGTTCCTAGCAATCTCATTGATGTCTTAAGCATCCAGCTTAGATTTGCTGCTTGTGAGCCTCGCCCTTGGCACTGTGACCAGACTCGTCGATCTTGTCGCCGACGGCATCCTTGGCGGCATTCAGGCTGAAAGCGAACGTTAGCAAAGCTGCATTTGCTATCTCATAATCCAAGGATCTTGCTTACCGAGTGCCGACGTTGGCGTTGTTGTCCTTGGCAACCTCCTTGTTGGCTTCCTTGCTGGTGCCGGAAGTGGCCTTCTGGACCTGCTCGGAGACGTAGTTGGCACCCTGCTTGAGAGAATCCATTGTGATTGGGTTGTTTGGTGTGGTAGTGAGAGTTTGGGAGCTTTTCAAGTTTTGATTTGGTAGTAGTGGAAGAGAGCTGTGTGATGAAGGAAGATACGAGATGGGATCTGGAGCGTGAAGATGGGAATATATATAGACAGATGAAAATAGAAGTGGGCTTGAAAGGGGTTCGTGGCAATCTACCCCTCACGGGCAATTACGTATGTGCTTCTTTCTTGTTGGGTATGTTAATTCGCTCGTGATGCTCGCAACTGAGCAGTTTCTAGCCGCGCAAACGGGAACTGTCAAGTCCTGACGTCATGGGAATTCACAGAAAAGGCGGCCGAGCTGCAAGGGGGGAAAACAAATAAGCTCGTGATAATCCCACAAAATCCGCACTCATCAGCCAATGCCCACCACGGCAAGGCAATTTACCGATGCCGTGCCGGCTCGTTTTTGTCGCCATCTTGGAAATCCCCATCATCTTTTGGTGATGTAGCACTAAGCCACAGAAATGGGCGGGTGAGAACGCCACAGTGTGGCACAGAACCCACCAGCCCGTCGCTGGCTGCATTTCTACTCGCCTATCCAGAACTCATGACGGCTCACTGACGTATCCGCTACCTCACCAACAAACGCGTAGCCACGATGACGCTGCGCCATCGAGATGTCGCCGGACACTTGGCTCCGGACGGCGAAAGGGAGATATCTTTGTGTCACTCTCTTCTCAACTGTCAATGAGGCGTCCATGACGGTGTCCACGACATTGCGCCAAATTTGGGCTGCCCATGTGCCACTCTCGTTCGGGGACAGCGCGATGTCCGGTCGTTTATGGCATGACTAGGCCGTTTTGTTTGTTCAGGCAGTTCAGGCCATCGACTGCTTTCTTTTCGACGCGAACAATACCCTGGCGGCTGGGTTGCGGCATTGAGTCACGACATGCGCCCGCGACGCATTATCGTTATTACCTGCGATGCTGGCAAGCCAAACAGCCTGATTGGCTCCTAGCCGGGCCTCCGTGGCCTCTTCGACATGCGCCATGCGAACTGAGGGTACATGGTACTCTGTCAAGGATTCCGCCAGCGATTGCCGCAATAACACACTTTTCACGTGTAGCATCTGCATGACTGCCTCAGAAAGCGCTTCAGAAGCTCTGGGGTCCTTGATTATCGACTTATCGTGCGAGCCAAAAGTTGCAGCCCAAACTCTATCATTTGGCCTGCGCCCGCCTGCAAAGCGTATCAAACAGGGCACATCTTGAAAGAAAGACCGTCTCTCATTCTTTCATCTGCTCTATCAGTGAGACGCCGGCGACGCTCTCCAGCGTCATACGTCAAATCAAATTGGCTGGCGTCCAACGATTTTGCGCCATGACAGCCCAGCGGCCGCTAGCTGATACCCGCCGTGCCTCATGGCTTCCAAATCGCCTACACCCTTCCTCGCACAGATCTTCTTCCCCTTCGAACAGTTGACTAGCGAAACGGTAGTGCGGCAGGATCAAGGGCACACAGGCAGTCTGCCATCTCGAGACGATACAGTCTGATTCAGCCCAGCCAGCCATTGACGACGCTGCTTGGCATTGCTGGGTTGCTCAATGTGAGATGGCTAATTGTTGCAGCGCAACAATTTCCCCAGCGATTAATCTCTCAGATCAACTACCGATGGCGCCATGTCACGCTATTTATAATTTAGACGAAGCACATCAATCTTGCAATAGTTGATCGTCTTGTGCCTTGGTCCCTGTACCGTTCGCTGCGCCGCCGCCCTTGACTTGACACCCGCCACTTGGCTCGATCTGACAGGAACAAATCCGCAAAGAGCCTGGCAAGTTCTTGAAATGGAATTCCTCAGACCCTGGCGGCCAGGCCACAGTCGCATCGGCCAATCCAGTGTTAGTGCGCGCCACCATCTCCAAACCTCAAACTGAAATCGCCAGGGACCGTCACTCACCCGAAACTGTAGAGTGTAGCATCGCTGCTTCACAACTTGCCGCCACCCACTTTACCTCTCACGAAGCCGTTGTTACTGGTAGCAGTAGAAAAAGATGCATCGGACATTGCCGCGGCCGGGTCGACAAGGAAGAATTCCAGAAATCCGGAACTGGGATAACTGGGCGTTTTCTTCTTTCATGCATGGTGGCAAGTTGTAGTAATAATTTGGCATGCGGCGTTGTCAAGCGCCGCAGTGGCGCATCCAGTCTATGAGGGGTGACTTCTTGTGGCTTGCATGCAGGATACAGGAAGCCACCACCTGTCCTGTTCATTATTTCCAAGGGAAAAAAAGAAAAGAAAAAAGACAAAGGGCTGGATCGGGTGGTTCATTTGAAATTTTTTCATTTGCAATTTCGGCGCATTTCTTATTCCATGCTCTTTATGAAAGGCTGCCTGTTCGGTGATGGCGATGGATGGGGGGGGCCCAACATCGTCTTTCTTGGCTACCACCTTCCGTGACTCGCCGTGTTTCTTGGACTCCCCCGGGAAAGCCCCGACCATTTCCTGCACCTTGCGTGCTAACGAGCACGAAAAATGCCATGCCTCAAGTCAGTAAAAGTATATTGGAAAAAACGAAGGAAATACCCCATCTCATTGGTGTGGGGTGCGAGGGGGAGAGGGAGGGGGAGACGGAGAAGGCGAAAGGCGGCGCCTAGCGACGATGCAGGCAACAGGCTGGCCTTGGTGTGTTTTGGAGAAGCCATGTTCGGCCCGGCTGAATCTGATGCCGAAGCAGAGATAATCTCTGGGTAAGATTGGGCGACATGAAGGGCCAGAAAGGAAAAAGAAAGGGTGCCATCCGTTACCCTGAGGGCTTGCTTTGCCGTTTATGCGTGGTGGACCGGCCTCTCCATACTGGCAACGCGGGAGGCGACATTGATCCCCGCGTGTCCCTGATTCAAGGGTTGCGCCTCTTGATTCTTGTCACGTTTTGTCGAGGTTCCTCTGTCTAGTATTTCTCTCTTTTTCCCGTCTTGTTTGTTTCGCTCTTCCCCCGAAGTCTCATCTTTCACATATACGCAACAAGTCACTTGACACGAACCACATCACATCTCTAACGGGACAGTTCGTCGATTGCCTGAGTATACACCACCGAAGCAAACCATCAACGACGAACCGGGGAATACAGAGAGATACAGACCAACAGTCGCAAACGACCTGCTGTCGATGTCGGCCCATACCGAGTAATCATCTGGCCAGGCCAGCGTGCTCTCTCGCACTTCCTCCCCTCCCCTCGTTGACGACACTCGGCCGCGCCAGTTATTCATCCTAGCCTTGTACAATCCGAAAAGAACCAAAAAAAATAGAAAGACGAAATAATGAGCCCCAGAAGCCTTGCAGCGCTCGGTGCTCGGGCGCCGGCGGCGAAAGGAATCATTGGCAATGGTTCCTTCACCACCGACTGGACCGGCTTCCAGTTCCAAGCCAACTCGACCAACGCAGTCATCAACGAACTACGATTCGCCTCCTCCAAGACGATACGGCAGTCGACCATTATCCTCGCCAGCTTCAATGCCGTGGTAGGGCTCGTGCTTGCCGTGGGCATCTTCTTGGACTGCTATTGGGCTGCAAAGAGGGCCGATCCCCAGATGAGGTTCAGGTATGAATGCCCGACAACGTCAATGGGAAAGTGAGTTGCCGGACGCTAACAATTGGCAAGAAAATCAATGTATACGATAATTGGGCCCATGAATATCTTTCCATTCATCTTGGCGATTGGAATCATTGTTCAAGGGACCATTACCGCTGTTGAACAGGCCAAGGGCATGCAAGGGCTGTTGATCCTTGGCTGCCTCCCCATTTCACAAGTTATGCTGCCTAGTGAGTACTTTCATCCATTGGCTGGATGCGAACAAAGCTCGTTCGCTAACTCCCCATAGCCATCTTTATTGTGCCATATATACAATTCGTCTTTGGCATGGAGACTACCGTGCGTGCCTTTCGGCGACGGGCCTTTGACGGCTTCGGCAGATGGACTGTCTCGGTCTGCGTAGCCCTCGTCGTCGTTGCTCTCGCCGCCACATATGCAGTCACCCGTGTGGTTCAGCCGCCCAACTTTTGCTTTGCCTCGCTCTTCTGGTTTGTGCAAAGATATCGGGTCGAGTGCTTCGGCCTGTTTACCGCCATATCCGGCAGTCTGCTGCTCGGCAGTCTGATCACATTTGTCAGACTGTATAGAAGCTCGACAGGCAGCGTCATTGAGCGAATCGCGGCCTCACGCATGGTGTACTACATGGCCATCGGTGCCATTACAAATGTAAGAGACAAATACCACTCGACTTGTGGCCTCGGGAACTTGGACTAACGCCTCAACAGAGCATTGTGGTGCCATTCTTTGCAAGTCTTACGATACGCAACGACATGGAAGTGTCGCAACTGCGTGGCAATCTCTCCATGGCTGCCATGGTGGCTACAAATCTAACAGGCCTGACCAACGGCGGCCTTTACGTCTTTTTGCGGGCCTGCCAGAGCAGCAACATCGGTCGCAGGGGATACCTTGAGATGCTGGACCGCGAGAAGCGGAGACAGCTGTCTCGGAAGCAACTAATACGCAAGTCTCCCATGACGGAGACGTACGCAAACCAGATCGAGCAGCCCGTCTCCCCGCCTCCACGCGTATACCGGGCCTTTTCGCCCGGCGATGAAGACGCCGAGAGCTTGATCGCCGAGAGCCAAATCGGCCTGGCCAAGACGTCCAGCGAGACCGCATCGCAGCGAAACTATGCTAATGGCTCGCCGCGCAAGGTCGCCCACGTCCGCAAGGCGTCGTACAGCGTGTTCCCGCAGCAGCAGTCGGCGCCGGCGCTCAACCCCAAGCCGCTGTCCATCCTGCCTGCCGCCACGTACACGCCGCCGACGCTGCTCCAGCGCGGCCCGAGCGCCGAGGTCAACGACGAGGACATCCAGGCAATGGAGATTGACATCATGCGGCGCGACATATCCAGCCTGCTGCCGCCGCCGCGGCTCGTCCCCGGCGCCTTCGTGCCGGGCCACCAGCGGGACTCGTCCATGGCGTCTTCGGCCACGGTGCAGATCGGCCTGCGGCTGTCCAACGTCAACGACATGCCGCGCGTCGGCCCGCCCTCGTTCCTGCAAGAGCGGCTGCCCACGCCGCGGCCGACGTCGTCCGTCTACCCCAAGTCCATGATCGTCCCTGCGGCGAGGCCAACGTTGCAGCAGGAGGAAGAGGAAGCGGTGTCCCCGCGCGGTTCGGTGCTGATTGGCAGCACCGTCTGGCTCGACCCGACCAAGGAGCTGCCGCCGGCGCCGCTGCAGCCTGTCAAGAAAGACAAGGGCAAGGGCAAGGAGCGCGAGAGCCAGATGCTGCTCAGCCCGCTGGCGTACAGCCCGGACGGCCCGGGGAACAGCGTGACGATGGCGAGTCCGTCGGACAAGGACGCGCGGCTGTCCCCGGCGACGGAGAAGCGGCCGTCTGAATGGATTTGATCTGTCTGGTCTTTTACATAGTCTTTTGGACACGAGGATTGGGGAAATGAATAGGGTCTGTGAGACGTGTACTACACTGTATCAACTGGATTTCATAGACGGGATTTAACGGGCTAAAGGGGGGAGGTTCCGCGTGCTTGGATTTTTATATAGCGTTTTTTATGATTATATGATGTATATTTACGGTTACTTGGTTCTAAGTCGGCTTCGAACAAATCTAAGCATGGTTAATTTGCTACTGTACGCGGGGTATATCTATATAAACAGCAGAATAGCGTAGCAGCGATGTAATTTCTTGGCAGAGATGGCCAAAATTTGTACCGCCGTTCTTCCAACGCCGGGGTGTGCCCCCCCCCCCCCCCCCCCGCTTCGTGATGCCCATGGGCTTTTTTTTCCGATCTCATTGTGCCTTGGGGCCCTTCTTCTTGCTCTGCCTAGCCAGCCGCCTCTCCTCCCACCGGTCCCAGCCGGCGTCGGCCAGGTCCTCCTCGACCACCAAGTCCCTCACCCGCAGCGCCCTCGCCAGCGGCAGCTCCAGCGCCCACGCCAACCACCCCGACGCGCGCAGCGCCGCCGTCACCGCGAACCACGCCACCGCCGAGAGCGCGCCCAACGACGCGCCGACCAGCACCTGCCTCGGCGTGTGGTAGTCGAGGTAGACCCTGCTCCACGCCGTGGCCGCCGCGACCAGCAGTCCCGCCGCGCTGACCACCACGCGGGCGGCGGCCGCCACCTTTCCGGAAGAGTTGTTTGGTCGGTGGCGGATGAGAAGAAAGAGGGCGAGGGCGACGCTCCAGAAAAAGACAAACTGGGCGTGGGAGGAGGGCATGCCGTAGCCCTTGCCGAGGATGCGGCGGCGCGGGCGGTCCTCCTTGATGAGGCGCTTGAGGGCAAAGTTGAGCGCCTCGCAGGCGAGCTGGCCGGCGAAGAGGAGGGCGACCTCGACCTCGCGCGAGGCGAAGATGAGGGTGAGGTAGACGACGCCGAGGGCCTGCGGGAGGAGGGCGAGGTAGGCGCAGAGGAGGGAGAGGCGGTCGTTGGGGTCCTGCCGCGGGGGGATGTGTGGTCAGGCACGGATAGCGAACAGGAGAGGGGGAGGAGAGAGGGCGTAGGTGCTAAAACGTACGTAGTAGACGTGTGTGATGGAGAGCGACGCCAGCGGCGCGGCTGCTTCGTCGTAGCCCATGATGGTGAGAAGAGGATGTTTGACGGCGTCGAGTGTGTCGGTTAGATTCATGGCATGCTGCGTCTGTAAAGGGAGGGATCGGATCGGATCGGAAACGCTGCAAGTGCGTGCCACGAGAAATGGAGAGAGTCAAGAGTAGCCGGCAGTGTTTGCTGCCCGGACGGCTTGCACTGGTGATGGTGATGGTGATCCGCGGGTGGTGGAAACGGGAATCGCTGTGCCTTTATTACCAGGTACAGGTAGCAACAGACAGGCCAGCTGGGGCGGACATTCCCTTGTGGGAATGGCGGCGGGCGAAAAAGTGGTGCAACCTACAAACGCCAGCTAAACAGAACGATTTCTAACCAAGAAAAAGAGTCATACCGTTGTGCACCAAGGCGAAATCGATAAAGACCCCCAAGTACAAGTGGCATAGAAAATTTCCTTCTCCTTCTTTCATCATCATCATTATTACTATTACCATACACCACCGGCCGTTACTTTGACCCCGACTTCCCCTCCAGTCTCGCCGCCGTGATACAGCTGCCTCCGCACGCCATCAACCCCAGTCGCCACCACATTGCACAAAATCCTTCCTTCTTGCTAGTTACTAAGCGCGCAACCAAACCGCTATATTTTCTAGCTTTCTGCTTCGCGAGAAATAAGAGCACCGCAGAACTTTCAGATGACATTGTGATGCAAGAGGCGAGCTGAGAAAAACACACAAAGGATAATGACGCGTGCGCGCAGCAGCATACATGACGACCATGGATCCTACCGATGACAGCGACGACGTGCGTCGCATCGAGCTGGAGACGCTCGAGGCCATCTTCCCGGAGCTGCGTCGGCCGGAAAACTCGCCGTTCACTTTTGAGCTCGAGATTCCCGTCGAGCTGGCACAGCCCCTGACCGTCACCTTTCCCCCGGCTGGGAACGCCGTGGAGGAGCCGCACAACGGCCAGTCAGCGGCAGCAGCACCACCACCGGCCCTTGACTCTCTCCAGGTATCGCACCTCCCGCCCATATCGATCCTCGTCACCCTCCCGGATGGCTACCCGGAGTCGCAGCCCCCGCGCGTCGCGCTCAAGACGACGCTGCGCTGGCTCAGCGACGAGACGCTCGCCCGCCTGGAGCAGGACGCCCCGCGGCTCTGGGAGGAGGCGGGCCGCGACATGGTCGCCTACGCGTACATTGACCACGTTCAGCGCGGCACGGAGGACGTGTTTGGTACCATGGGGGAGGATGGCACCCTGGCTGTCGACGCGGAGCACAAGGTCGCCGTGTTAGATTACGACATCAAGGCGAAAAAGGCAGCGTTCGAAAGAGAAACATTTGAATGTGGCGTCTGCTTGGGTATGTTGGATTGCGGCCGTCGGGCCCCCGAGACTGAACTTGCGCTAACGACATGGACAGATCCGAAAAAGGGCACCAACTGCCACAAAATGCTGGACTGCGGGCACATCTTTTGCCTCCAGTGCCTCTGTGACTTTTACGGAGATGCTATTAAAAACGGTGAACTCCTCACTGTACGCTGCTTGACGCCAAACTGCGCCAAGGAACGAGCGTCAAAAGGCTCTACAGACACGGCTGGTCGTCCAGTTAAGAAGTTGAAGACGTACATCAGCCCGAGCGAATTACTGCAAATCGGCCTCTCGGAGGAGCTCGTCAAGAGATATGTCACCCTCAAGTACAAGACGCAGCTGGAATCCGACAAAAACACCATCTATTGCCCGCGACAGTGGTGCAACGGCGCCGCCCGCTCCAAGAAGCACAAGAAGCCCCAGGGCCTCGAACTCGTCGACCTCTCCGACGAGGAAGAGGACGACGATGACAGCGAGGACACGGTGGTCGAGGACGCCACCGCCGCCAAGAAGAAGAAGAAGAAGGAGAAGGCCGCTGCCAAGGCTAGATTCAACCCGGCGGACCTGCTGTGCGTCTGCGACGACTGCGGCCTCGCCTTTTGCAGCCGGTGCCTGCAGTCGTGGCACGGCGAGTTCGTGCGCTGCACAGGCAAGAAGACTACGCAGGAGCTTACGGAAGAGGAGCAGGCGTCCATAGCGTACTTGGAGCTGCACACGTCGCCGTGCCCGACGTGCTCGGCACCGGCGCAGAAGACGCACGGCTGCAACCACATGGCGTGCTCGCGCTGCGACACGCACTTTTGCTACCTATGTTCCGCGTGGCTCGACCCGACCAACCCGTACAAGCACTACAACATGCAGCCCAATGGAAAGGTCACGTCGTGCTACATGCGCCTGTGGGAGCTCGAGGGCGGTGACGGTGACGACGTCGGGCTCGGGTTCGATGGCGGGCAGGGACAAGGGCAGGCACCGGCTGCTGTGGAAGCGCCGGCGGAGGAGGAGATACTGGTCCTGCCTGCTGAAGAGGACGAGCAGGAAGAGGAAAGCGATGACGAGGGGTCGGTGCTTGGTGAGAATAACGGGAACGGTGCTCACCCGGCGGGAGAGCCGGCGCCTCGGGAGAGAGGGCCGGCCGTCGCGCGGGAAGCACCTCTTGTGCTGCGGGTCATGGACGAGCCGGCACAACGCCCAGCGAGGAACGACGTACCAGCGGCGCCTGCCCCGGGAGACGGGCGACGTGGGCGCGGCGGCGGTCGTGGCGGTGTCAATGACAGAGCAGCACGCCGAGGCGGCGGCGCCCGAGGCGGCGGCGCCCGCGGAGGAGGAGCAGCAGCGGCCCGAGGTCGAGGGCGCGGTGCTGCCGGACGCGGACGAGGGCAAGGCCGGCAGAATCAGCACGACGAGGGCCGCGCGAGACAGTTGCAAGCCCTCCGGGAACGAGAGAGACAAGAAGAGGAGTTGCAGATGGAGATCGGCGAGCTCAACCCGCAGCAGGAAGCGTGGGTCAGGCAGTTCGTGGCGATGGCGTTGGAGGACGCGGAGGACAACATACACGACTCGGACGAGGACGACATTGAAAATATGATCCACTGGAATATGATGAGGTAGAATCCGCGACGGGCCATGGCGAGCAGAGCGGGCTATTAGACGGACCCGTTGACGGGAGGCTGGGGCTGATGTAGAATGAATCCAGGATATTCACGATGGCAAGCGACACCAAGAAGCATACGGAATAGATAGTTGCTGATGCATTGCAATACGACATTGAACTGGAATACTGTAAGTTGAATCTAGATTGGATGATGGACCAAGCGGCATAGTCGAGCGGTTTGCATCTTGTAGCCAGCCACGCTCCTGGAGGCTGCTTAATATATAGACGAACCACACTGCATTTGGGGAAGCAATATATCCAGAGGGCGTATTTTCTCAGCCCCCAGAAATTACGAACATGCCCGGAATTCCTCGGTCTCATCATTCGGGCCCCTCTACGTTGTTGTTAAGGGAAGCGACACCGTGTCGACGATTCATTCCTAGGCCAAAAGAGAGATGAAGTTTGTTTTCGTCTCAGAGGCAAATCGATCAAGGCATTTTTTGCATCAAGCGATCAACCCATGTTTTTTAATCCACTTGAACTCATACCTACCTCGCCTACCTCCAGCGGAAAATAGGAGGGCAACAGCAGCAGGTGACGAGGAACGACTGGCTTGCAGACGAGAGAGGGAGAGGGGTGTTGCGTCATTTGCTTCCCTCCCCCTGAAAGTTCTCGGTCAAGTGGAATACGGGGAGGGGATGGCATCCGTGGGATTTGGATGGGGGTCAATATAGCGATTGCGTCGCCGTATTCTGCCGCCGCCGCTGTGTGTGTGTGTTTGTGGTGGTGGTGTCTCTGAGCAGACGAGGTGGGTGCCCAAACGTTGCATTTGGCATCTGCGAGATGGGAAGTAGCGTTCGCTGGTGCTGCGGCAGCCCTTGCTCTCCTGGCTCGAGGACTCGGAGAAGAAAGCAACGCCATTCTACGAAGAGACGCAAGGGAGAGAGAGTGTGTGCATGCTATTACTCGGTTAGATGGCTCTGCGCAAGGCGGGGGTTTTGGGAAGAGAGCTCAAATTGTGAAAAAAGTGAATACACATGCTCAGGTTATCAGATTCTAAAGCTCACGGAAAGCACGACAAGCTAAGCTGCGCAGCGAGAATGTCGGAGACATTGACCCTCCCTCCATCCGTTCTCTCGGTACCGTGATCCCCTCCAATGTAACGCCTGCGGTAGGGTGAAGAACATGTATGTTGCAGTACACATGTACTTGACTTTTTAGAAAGCAAGGGTCAAAACATGTTTCCGCCGCCTTCTCAGCCTTTTTTACAATCGGTGTGTTGATTGGCTCTCAACTTTCTTTTTCCTCGTTGGTGCGGGCGGACGAAGCCTGTTGCGGGCGGGGATCGACACGCGACAAACTCGGCAAGCACGAGAAGAAAAAGAAAGCATTGAGATTTTGATGGAATTAGGACTCAAGATACGAGAGAAGGTGAAGAGAGAAATCCGCCTAGGAGAGGAACAGAAAAAAAAAAGAAAAGAAGAGTAGAGACAGAAAAAGTAATGGCGGGGGAGACAATCATCATCATCAACATCATCATCGTGGATGGCCGTGGACCATGTGCCCAGGTCACGACCACAACCACACACCCTCTCAAGATACCCTTGTCCTTATTCCCTGTGTACTATTTTATTTGTTTATTTAGTTTTGCGTTTGCATTTCCTTTGTGTCTCTCACAACCGGCCTTCCCTATTGAGAAGCACAAATGAGCGCCAAAAGCCCTCTCGGGAGCAAGTCGCTTATTTTCTGACCGACTGAACAGCTGCGGACATCGGCGCGGCCGGGCAAGGGAAAGAAAAAATGGGCTCGACAACCTCGTTTGGGAGCGTTTTGGCTTACAAGTTACGGCGAAGAGGGGGGGAGGAGGGGGGCAAGATCGAAGAAGGACGGAGCGGGCTCCATCTCGATACTACGAGAGATCCCCGTACGGTTTGCTGACAGGTGAGCGGGAAGCGTCGTGGGAATTGTGTCATCCCCGGTAACTACTTGGGAAGGCTGGTGGGAAAAGCGGAAAAGAGATGGCTCTGGATGAAAGGAAAGGAAATAGCGAGAGCTGCATGTCTCACTATTCGCTCAGCAAACCACGCACCTTATTCTTTTCTTCCTCACCATAACATCTTGCTATCCTAAATCATCGCCACACCCCTCTTTTACCCCCTCCCCCTCTCCTTTGTATATGTACCTCTGAGGCCATTTACCTCTATACATCCAGTACATTGAAATTTCAAATCAGGTGCGCAACTTGACCCCTCCCTCCTGGGTTTGCCCCCCCCAACTCTTTCTTTCGTCTTCCCCAGGCTATCATGCAACACAATTATCGGCTAGGGGGGGGCCTGATATACCCTCCCGATGAAGATGTGTGGGCGGCTGTGCTCTTCCCCGGTGGGTGCATAAATAATGAACATTTTGCCATCTTTTTTTTTTCTGGAGAAAAAGAAGGAAAAGAAGAAGAAATAGCGTCGCAATCCATCACTAGGGGGGTCCTTGGAGGGCAAAATGCATCAAAAACTGTACTGGCATGCATGTACAGGTGACATGGGCACGTTTCTGCAGAGGCAAACTCAAGTTTGTCGGCTTTCGCCCCGTCTGCAACTGTAGTATCCCTAAGCCAGGGTTCATCGCCACAAGGCTGCCTACCATTGACAAGAGCCCATTGGTTCTGTTGATGAAGGAAACCATTGCTTGCATGTCATTCGCCTTTACCACTACATGAATGGTAGTGCGACGACGTCCCCTGTTGCTGCCCTTACAGGCTTGACCTGTCGGCCAAAGAGTAAACTACCAGTGCAAGAGAAGAAAGCTGCCTTGCGCGAGACGCGTCTCGACCTTGCTTCGGAGGACGGATCGAGTTATTGCTCCGACTTTGTTGCAGGGATTTGCTGGGGGGAAAGGGGGGGGGGGTAGCGTTCTGGTAGTTGCGCGCCACACCACTGACACCTGGAGATAATCTTGGAGTTGCTCAAGGCAAATAATAAGAATAATAAGAATAATATTGATGCCGAGTACGAAAAAAGTGGGCGAATAAATAAAGCCGTGTCTTTAACGAAGGAAGAACTAGAGAGGGGCAAGCGCAGAAAAAAAACTGTTAGATGGCGAATCTGTTCAAGTACTGCTGGTACCCTGGTCGAAGACCCTGGCAGTAAGTATACTTTTCATCTGCATCAACGTAAGGGCAGAAGCAGAGTGCGAGCTGCGGAATAGCGGATAGGTCGACAAAGTTAGTTATCCGGAACAACCTGGCCGCGCACAAGGCAGGTATATCTGTCGACCAAGGAAAGGAACACAACAAAATCATGCGCTTCTCTCTTGCGACGGGGGGGGGGGGGGGGGGGTTCCAACCTGCGGGTATCGACTGGCGCATCATACATCAAGTTCCTGGCTATTTCCTGCATTTCTCGCTACATGTATGGATGTAGCTATTTAGTTGGGTCGGTAGTTTATGTGGCCCTGTGCTTGGCAGGCCCTGTGAAGAGGAAAAGGCCAGGCGGGATTTACAGTTAGTTAACAAGTAACCAACTACGGAGGCGCCAGTGTCTGTTGGGGGAGAGCATAGCCTACGTGGATTAGAGAAAATAGTAATACAGATGATGGATTAACTGATATCGGAGTAAAGCCGGCATAGGCTACTTGTATCACGGGGTAGTCTCGACGGGACTGACATTTATTATTGTAACTAGGTCCATGCTCTCAGCATAACTTGTTCAAAACAGTTCAACTTGCACGGTTTCTTGTTCAGTAAACAAGTGCCATCGACACTAATAATAGACCATTGAACGATGCACACAGCATTCTACTGTAGTCGAGTCAGGCAAGCCCGACCAGATGACCAGCCCGCCATGCCGGCGAACTCGAACCTGTTCGCCGCAACTCTTCCCAGCGCTCCTTTGCAAGTTCCGACATTCCTTGCCATTGAGCACACCCCTTTAATGTTTCTCAGTGAATGGAGGGGGGTGCTGAAACCAGAGCAAGAAAGAAGGGTTAATAAAGACGCAGAAAGAAGGTAGAAAAAAAATAGTTACATAAATAAATAAATAAATAAATAGAAAGAAGAAAGAAGAAGAAGAAAAAAAATGGTAATCCAGTTGATTACGGCTTTGGCAAAGTTGGCTCGATGGCAATAGAGTTTTGAACTAGTTGGTTGGCTGTCGGGGGCCAAATCTTGCGCCACCAAAGATCCTTCAACGATGATGGCTGGCAGGAATCTGAATTGAACCCACTACGTTGCGCGCGTCTTTTTGGCTTCTTCATCATTTCAAGATTCTTCTTGGGTGAAGATTATGGGGGTGCACAGTTGAACTTGATCTAGGTCGTGTGTGGTGATGTATGCTGTGTACGTGGGTGTACTTGATGACTTCATCCTTTGATGAGTTCTGTCGGAAATAATGAGCAAAGCTTGCCCGCGTCGCCAAGGATGCCCAGGGTATGTTGCTGCCGATAACTGTATCAAGTCTTGCCCGCCATTCTCCCCCGCCATCTCACAGCAGGGTCGTCCTTGGTACTTTACCCATCCCGTTTCTTGTCATGACCAGATATGATCTGTCTTTTTTTTTCTCTTGTCGTCCGCGTCCGGTTCTCTTCGGCCCCGTCTCTCTCGGAGCTCGGTTTCCATTTCAAGATCCCCCCCCCGGCCGGGTGCCTGTCCTGTCCCGCCCACACAAGTTGGCTTTGCCCACACCGAGCAAGAGTTGAAAAAAAGTCTATTCCCAACCAGTTAATCCCGCCGGGGTTCACCTACCCTCTCTTCTCACCGATTGCAGAAAAAAAAAACCTTGATACCTCCTACAAGTTGAAGAAAAATCGAGGCACCCTTTCGGCGCGCCGCCTGTTGCCACCCCCCCCCCCCCTTTTCCTTCACCCCTGTATAAATGGCAGCCTGCCTAGGATCAGGGTACAACATCTACAGTATCACCCTGTCCCCTTCCCTCTTCGGCGCGCGCCACCCGCCCACACCTAAACTTGACTTCTTCGGCCCGTTGATCACGGTGTTGAAAGAACCGCGGGCTGCTGAAAGAATCTA